CAATGGGAATATTGTTGTTCAGCCACGCACAGAACACTTCAGCGCAGTAACCAAACAAGCCACCCAAATTCCAGGCTTGCCAAAGAAGCACAACTCCTTCATGAAAAATTCAAAATCCACAACGCAAAACCACTACTAAAGATGCCTGAAAACAATTTGAAGGAACAGTTTCCTGTGTGCGAAACTATTGGACAATGCAACAAGGTCTTCATGGGACGTTCGGGAAAACGGATGTTCATCATTTTCTTTCTATCATTCATCAATCATAGAGGCTCGCTGTAAGCAATTTGTACGTGATTTGTGTGGTCATGTCCCTCATAGTTGTCATCAAGCTACAAATGGTAACGTGTTCACTTTCAAACCCACAATTCTAAGCAAGTTTGATGACTCACCGTCTTCTTAAGTGTCCTTCCTCCAAATATTTTTCATATCTAGGTCGACACTTCATTCTGTTTTTGTTTCCATTTGCTCCTGGCAACTCTTCCACTGCATGGCTGACATCCGTCTATGGTTCAAACAGAACATGCGTTGCTTTGATTAATTCATTATATTTGGCATGAGGCGGTCTAACGTAGAGAAATTTCTTTGTCAGAGAACCTTTGTTCATGGAAATTTCTATAAGCGGTTTGCGCAATGCGTGACTTGGAAGGTCTCTCACAGGCTCTGCATCGGTTGTCTGCACTTGGCCCACAGGGTCACCCACTGGGTCGTTCTTGGCGAGTTCTGCGTAGCACCACGGTGCCGACAGGTTGCGGGACCCCGGCACCAGCCGAAACAAACGACAGAGGGTCGTTGCTGGACTCTGCGGTGGCTTGCGCCGTCGGACTACTCAGGCCGGAGGAGCAACTGGACCCTCTTCAGGTGTACTCTGGGAACTGAAGGATGAACAGACTCACACTCAGAAAGAACTCATAGGTGACATTCGCCAATCAGGCGGTGTGGGTACAATTGGTCATGCCCATTCCGTGCGGAAATTCTATGAAATTCTTATTATGTTAAGGCTTGAACAAATCAAATAATCAAATGGTTCTTGCTCTAAACTCAAAATATGAAGAAGTTTGAAAGCTTGAACTTCAACACCCCAAGATGCTTTCTCATCATGGCAGCAAAAAAAATACACCGGGCCAGGTGGCGGGTGTCGCTGCCCCGGGTCGTGTCTCCAAGTCGCTCTGCACAGCCTCTTCCTCGACTGAGGGGAGGTGGGATTGGGGTCCAATCCTGCTTCAGGAAGGGGCTGGTTCCATCAACGGGGGAACCTTGAGCCACCCCTTTTAGCAACTTTTGTCCTCAACCCCACTTGGAGATACTGACTTAAACCATCCCCCAACATGTTACTAAATTTGGATCACTATGCCCAAGCGGGATGGAAACCATGTTCCGACCCACCACCCAATCTGACTCAAATCCAAAACCTCTTGGCGCCAGGAAGCAAAGACTTCTGCCTCTGATCTGTTCGCCAAAAGCACTGCTTCTGCTTCATGGGCGGCTGAATAGCTGGCGGCTCCCACAGGCACCTCCCCAAAGCCATGAGCTATGGAGACCCCAAATGTTCATCGGCTTCCAAACTCACTAAGTGGTTAAAGATTGAAGATTGCTAAAAAGGACCCCCCAATTTCCTGAGAAATAAGGTAACTAACTCCTTTAAGTCTACAATGAATGCAACAGTCGGGCTGGAAAATGACTTGAGCATCGGCATATGTTATTCATTCCAACGTCAGGCTGAACTAGCTGCTGTGCCTGTGATTCGTTTTCGCAGCGAACAGTCTGCCATGATGACACGAGAAAGTGCAGCTTTTTCAACATCCTGGAATGCCGCTATTTGTATTGGAATTTGGTGGGGCACGTGTGCAACTCTACAAGTTCTTCCTTGCATGGATGTTCAAAACTCTAGAAATCAAGAATGAGAGCCCTAGGGCTTAGAGGCACCTGGGGTCTCTAGTTAAAAGCCAAGTAGCTGGCATCATTCCGCCATCATGCTTGCTCTCACTTTGACTTGCCAGCTCAGTGCATCTCAGTGCAGCCTCCGCAGATCTCACCTGCTCCTGTCCAGTTCAGCCGGCTCAGACAGAGTCCAGAAAATTCGGTCTGGCCACGAAAAAACAACAAAAGTAGTTCCAGTTGATTAAACGTGATCAAACAAGGCACGTCCGAATTTGTACAACATGGGCGGCAATGCGAAGTGCCGGACCTGAGTAGATTGACATGTGAGCATGGCCAACAACAAATAAGAGCATGGCCATTTGTTTGTTCTTTCGTTGTATTGTCAGGATAATTTGTTAAAACATGCGTAAGACTCATTTCTGAAGCCTGTGGCAGTGCACTTCCAAGCACTGAGGTGAAAAAAATTATCCAAAAAATGCTGAAGAGTTCACCCTCAGGGCCTCTCCTTCTGAACAAACATGACTAACATGTGTGTTTTGATCGCAAATCATGGCCCGCTCCTCTTGCACGACGGTCCCAACACTGACCTTGGCCTTTTGGCATGCATTGGAAGGCTGTGCCAGGTCCACATTGGATTCGCTTGCGCTAGTGTCAATCCTCTCCACCTTGGCGGAGCTCGGGAAAGGTTGGGGCGCGACGAGGAGCAACCCTTAAACTGAGGAGCCGAAGGGGTTTGGGCCGAAGAAGCGAGATGCAAAGAACTAATTACAACTAATCTATATAGTATCTATAGGCAAAAGGACATGAAAAAGGGATGGAGAAACCAAAACTACCAGAATGGGATCTGGTACAAATCCTTCAACTTCGCCTGTGATGGAAACTCCGTACGATCTCTCCGGGTGCCATGGCACCGTTGGCACGGCATTGCTGCTGTTGCCAGCAACCGTGGGCTGGTGGACAGGAGCTTGGCTCGGAGTCGGAACTTCCTTGCTTTTTCGCTCCTGATCCTGGCCTCAGAAGTGTTTGTCGGTTTGCCGAAATTGAGACAATGAAGTAGAACGAAGAGACTTCCTCTTTTGACAGGTCCGTTTTTTATGCTCCTCAAAGATGGGAGGAACCAATAACACGTGCATTGGCACTGGCAAGATGAAGGATACTTATAATAGATACTGATCCATGCCGCAAAACATCTGGGAAATGATTGCTGCCTCTACTCTAGTGGTCCCTTGAACCGCTTGAATCCAGCTCTCCATGCCCCACCTGAAGGTCCCACCGGCTGCTTTAGCGGCTTTGGACTCTCATCTGCAACTGGCGGCTCCACCTGCTTCTGCCGCTCCTGTGGCACCTCTGGTTGTGGCACCTCCTGGCTGGGTGCATTCGCCAGCTCCGCCTCTGGTTCCGCCACCGAGTAGCTGAGCACACCTGAGACCTCAAGACCGAGGTGGGGGGAGGGACAACGAGACCTACGAAACCATCGCTACGAACGAAGCAAGGACGCTACTAGTGGGGTTCCTGGCCTGCTCTTTGGTTGGAGGCCATCGCTAGTAGGTGGGAGGCCATCGCTAGTTTTGTTTTGGAATGGACCTTGCTCTGCAAACCATGTTGTGAAGAAAATCTGGGGCGGTTCCCCGAAGAAACCAAAAGCAAAAGGATACAAAAAACATCAAATACATGTTTTGCCCATGGCTGCCCATGGTGCCCAAAAACCAACCCCCAAAAATTTTTCCTGGTATTGGATTTCGTTTCAAGTGGCTTCACCCGCAAAGCTGGCTTAGGGGTAAATTAAAAATGATCCGCTCGCTGCAACCCCATGGCGCCAAAATCCTGGTCAAGTAGCTGAGGTCGCTCGACGACATCCTGCAACTGCATCAACGGCATCTGTTCTCTCTCAGCCCGCAACGGACCGCATCAACTCGCACCCCATATGGGGTGCCCTTTTGCGTATGGTCAGGGGACGTCTTCATCATAAAAAGGGCACCCCCAAGAAATTCAATGAATTCTTGCAAACAGTCTTTGCCCACCACGTCCTCCTCTGCTATGCATGTCTTCCACATGAACTCCCACCCCATAAGAAGCGCCCTTTTGCGTATGGTTGACAGGCGTCTTCACCTTCAAAAAGGGCACCCCCAAGCAACTCCAAGATTTCTTGCAGACCCTCTTTTCCTACCACGTCCTCCTCCGCTCTGCTTCTCTTCCACCTACCCCACGGCATTCTGTTCCCTGTCCTGCCCTCAGTGTCTTAAGAGACACGCACCTCCCTTTCACCCCTGGTCGAACACTATTTCAATCGACACCAGAGACGCGCATTTCCCTGTCCTGGACGAGTTCCAACCACTTTTCACGTCCCGTTGTCATGAACTCCCACCCCTGGTGTTTAGAATGCCTCCCTCCTGAGCCCCTCATGATGCTAATGATGTACTAATGGCCGTCAATTACATCACCTGAATCACAACCAAACTGCAAGTAGTTTTCTTCGCTCTCCCCCACCAGGCTCTGGGCTCACCCTCCGAAATTGGCCGCTGTGCGACCACCCCTCCACACCCCCTGATACTCACTTCGTTCGCCCATCCCAACTCCAGCCTATCCAGCCTAGCCTATCGGCTGGCTTTCGTTATATTTATATGTTGTATGTAATAGTCAATAGTGTTGTATTTATTCAGGGCACTCCGTGGCCAATTCCGCCCGAACACAATTCCTCGGTCATCTTGAACCCAGTTTTGCAAACAGTCAGGTTCCAAGATTGAGTATCAACATCTGATGGGTGAAAAACATGAACGCGCAACGCATTGTACCCCTCGATTGCATTCCCCTCCCGCCGATGATACTTGCTTTCCCAATTCAACACGATCTCCTTCCGCT